TTCTGCCTGACCAAACAGTGCAGCAAGAATATCAAAAGACCGAAATGCTCGTTAAAATGAATTCAATGCATTTTAATGGCTTTATATTTTGGATACATGAAGTTAACTTTTCGATGATATAAGCTTGAATAAATGTGTTACAATCTCCATGGCATCTTTCATTATTATACCGGTGAACTGTTAATAAAACAACCCATGTAATGTTCATTTATTTATTGGTCCAAAACTATCAATTGGTTAATATCATGCTGTCACAAATATCACCAGGACTGAATCAAACATCAGACATTTTTTATTAATCCAATTAATCTGGATTTACAGGCATTTACTGATGAAACATCAGAAACTAATTGGATTAACGAAAACAATGAGAAAAAATAATTACTTCTACTGATGGAGAATTTAAAAAAAAAGGTGAGGCTGAATCTTTGACTCTCACAGTGAAGAAGAAAAGTTCATTGAAGATTCAAAAACGTTCTTTTCTAAATGTTTAGAAAAAGAAAGAAGAGGCCCAACAACATATTAGTATGGATTAGCTTTAGCTCATGGTTCATTACTTCTATTTTAGCTAACAGAATGTCACATTAATTTCAACTCTATTTAATGTTAAATATTTTAGAAAACCAGAATGCTCTGACTTTACCTAAACAGTTTCTGTGCCGCATCTCAGATCAGTTTTGTGCAGAACCTCAACAATATTCAAAAGTCAAGAGACATTAAACTGAAGAAGAAAAAGCGAAGTCGAAGCTACACTCACCAGCTCAATTCCTGCCACCGGGTCCTTGACGGCCCCCAAGTAGCCAATCCATCGGATAACCCCAAAGAGCGGCGGGTCGTTCACCTCAACCATCGACCCAACCTCCAGCTCCGTCTCCAGTCCCGTTCCTCCGTAATCAGCTGCACCCTCCTCCTCATCCTCGTTCTCCTCTTCGTTGTCTACAGGTCTTAAAGACGAGAAACGGCTGTGGGAACCGTTGGTGTGCTCCGAGGCGGACACCGGTGTCAGGTTTTGAGGTTTTGGAGGGGCAGTGGAGGAGTGAGTAAAGGTTTGTGTGTAGGCTTTGGAGGAGGAACAGGAGGCTTGAGTGCTTGTTTAGCAGGCAGAACCAGGGGCGTCCGGGGAGCGGGAATTGGTGACGTCGGGGCTTGTTTGATACTAGGGGACAAGGCCTGCTTCAAGATGGGCTTAGGAAGTTGGGGAAGAGGATTTGGATGTTGAGATGTTTGTTCTGAGAACACAGAATTTAAAAAAAAAATTAAATAAACATATTTTCTGACAGTACCACTAGACAATCGATATGTGGGAGAAACCCTGCGATGCACCTGCAAAAACGTTGCTGACAGGAAGCAGCAGTCCATAGAGGTGACAGGGAATGTGGCAGAGCCTATGTTCATGGTAAAATCCATCCCAGCTACCAGCAGGAGCATCCTACAACAACAAAACGCCAACAAACCAATAAATAAAGGATTCAACATCCTGAGGCCAGATGCATCTTGTGTGGTTCCTGCTCACCAGAGAGGACCGACGTATGTCGAAGACGAGGATCGGCCAGGCAGTGCGCCACAGAACCGCACCTCCCCGCCATGGAGGATCCCATCCAGGCTGACGCTCACTCTCTGGCCAACGTGGAACGGCGGCGGTGACGACGAGCCGCGCGGATTGTTGTGGACGGCGATGGGTGCCGACTCGGCCGTGCGCGAGAGCACGGCCTGCGTCTGCACCTGGACCTTGGGGCGACTGTGTTGGAAGCTTATGTGACGCGGGTGGGGCTGGTTGGAGCGATCGATGTTGCTACGGTGGCCGTTGATGCCGTGGTTGGCGCGGCGGGAGTGGTCCCTGGTTTTCTCCGGCGCGTCGACGTTGTTCCTGCTGGACCAGTGGCGGAGGCGGATGTGGCTCACGGGGACGAAGAGGCCGCAGGCGTCGGGACAGGAGAAGTAGCGGACGCCCTTGTAGGAACCGTTGCAGGTTCCTCTACCCACTGCTGATCCCTGGAGGAGCAACAAGGAGGAAAAGCTGGATTTTCAAGACAATTCCTTTGTCATTATTTTTCAAGCAAACATGCAATAAAATTAGGGCTGAAATGATCCAAATAATCTGATTAATCATTACTAATGGGATGATTATCATGATTCATTCCATAATTAAATATGATTAATCTGCTTTCTACAGATTAATTACGACAAATGATTGGATCAATCCGATGATAATCATGAAAAGCGATTAATCACGATAAATTATCCTTTTAATTGTGACTAATTACCATTGATCAAGAAAAGTCATGAATAGTCACAATTAATCACAAATAGTTACGATTAATCACAATTAATCATTGATTAATTGTCGGATTAATCACAATAAATCAGGTTAATTCATATTTGAAATAACTGTCAACTAATCCAGTGTTCGCTGACTGGAACATACAAATTTAAAAAATGCCATTCGGTGAAACAAATATATTTATAGAGCAGTAATTAACCCAAAACTGAATAAAAATATGTACACATTTTTAACACTTTATTATTTTACTTCCACTCGTAATTCAACAGTATAAATACTTTTCAAAGCATTGTAAATACATGAGAGCAAACGATCCAACGTTGTTAGCCTGTCTGGTTTTACAAAGTTAGATGTTTTTTTCTTTCAACTCGTCATTTGTTCAACTCTTCCTTTCGTATCTATGGAGATTTCCTGGGAACCCAGCCCTCAAATGTTACCTTTAGCTCCACTCCAAAATACAAAGCGCCGCTCCCTCCGCTGAGCGGTCCGATGTACTTGAGTTCTGCCTCGACCAGCTCGTCCTGACCGCCGATCAGGACCCACAGCGGAGCATTGGTGGGGACGAAGCCAGCTGTCGCAGGTTGTCTGGATTGTCTGGAAAATGCACAAGATTGGTGCACAGACATTTGTTAAAAAAAAAAAAGATTTATGTCAATGTTCATGTGGTCGCTCAACAACCCAATTCGCTTAACGCCGCCAACGCATTACTTAGTAGGCTTCGTCGAACTTCCAGGTCAGACACAGGCTCCACCAGTCCAACGAGGTCAGCTGAGATTTCCACCAAGTATTTCTTTTCTATTTTCACCATGAGACCATTGTCCAACACCTGCATGAAAATGAAAAGGACAGGTAGTGCACACAAGGTGGGGAGAAAAAAAATTAAATAAATAACTAAGGTGAGTACGAAGATGACCTTAAATTGACCTTTACAGTGAGTTTGAGGTATGGCTAAGATTCACAATACTTTGTGGGAAGGTTGACTTCTGATTCAGACACTTCCTAGTACAGCGATGGCAATAAAACAGTAACAAGAACAAACCTCAGGGTATGTGACTGGGATTTAGGGTGGAACCAACACGTAGCAGCGAATAATCGTGAAATATGGCACTATTTTTTTAAATTGTTCAATTTTTAATAAAAAACATAAAGAAGGTGTAATGTTTCTTCTGTAAATAAACAATTTAACTATTTTAAAATCCCAATAAAAGCCACAGGAGCTGATGGCTGCAAAGTAACAAAACTGTGGAAGGTTTGTTACAGTTTGTCTAATCATAAGTGCCAAATCACTTATTGGAATAAGTGAACTAAATTAGTTGAAATAATCATCAACTTATAATTTAGTAATCAATTAATTGTTAACTAGAGATATAGACGTGGGAAAAAAAAGGAAATTTGCTGAAAAACAAAAAAACATACCCAGACCAGTGAGCAAATAAAAAAAATCTCTGCTTAAATATGTTTTTTTTTTTATCTAAGCATTAATTGACGCATTAAAAAAACATACATAAACAAACAGATCAGCCTTGCTATGTATTAATGTTAAGTCGAGCAGAAAGGGCTGAGCTTCTCACATGTTGATGTCAGAAGCATTTTTTAGCTGTAGATGCACCTTTCCTGAAGATGATTAAGCTTTCCCTAAAAGAATCCTGTTTTTGCATTTATATATGTTTTTTCCAAATAAAACGTGTGCTTTCTTGTTTAATTAATTGAATTCTTTGTTTGTGTGCATCTTTAATGTATTTCCAGTATTGTATAAAAATCCTAGAGTGGTACGACGACAAAAATGCAGAATTTGACCAATTTTACAATCCGATTAATCGTGAGAATGATCGATAAAGTAGTCGCGCTCGCTGGTTGCCGAAACCTTAAGTCCGAATGAATCTCATTGTTGTCCTAATTTTAACACCGCGTCAATGAAGTGCAGCAAGTTGAGTTGATTGACTCGGAAGAAGTTGCCATGAAGTCAGCTGGTACCTTCACCCAGAGGGCGTCCTTTCGGATCTTGCCCTGGTCCTGCTCTTGGCAGATGAACCCCCTGCTCAGCAGGATGGGACCCTCCAGATCATCCTGAACCTGCAGGTCGGTCGAGATCAGGAACAGCTTGAAGGGACGTCGCTTCCTGTTCTGTTCAGGCGCCCCTGACATCTTCCAGGTGTCGGTACCGGCAGCTGCTCCGCGGCGAAAATCGAGCCCTCTTTCTCTGCGAAAGTTTAAAAAAGCTCAAATAAATAAGACTGTTCTCATTATGAGGAAGCAACGATAGCGCCTCGGTACTTCCGTTCACCTGGGGGAGTTGAGGTAGCAGGCGCGAGGAAGTTCGCATTTAAAACTTCACTCCGCTCCCAACCTCGACCACATTCCGCCCTCCTCCCACATTGTTCGCGAATAAACAACTCGGACAACTTGGAAACCCGGTGGAAGACGACTCACCAACTTTTTCAACTCCGACCGTCAACATTTCCCTTCACATTTAAAGGAGCTCCGCTCAATAACAAACCGCACCGTGAATCAGGAAGCAGCGTGATGGACGGCCGGACAGCCAATCGCTGTGCGAGGGAACAAGACAGAGGAAGGAGTCTGAGCCAATCAGAAAGCAGGTGGGCGGTACCGACAGCGGGGAGACGGTGGGGGGGAAATTCCACAGTGAGTGACTTCCATGCATTTCGGAAACAGACACACGTACACAATGACAACGCAGGCGAATTAATATATGCATTTTTTTAATTATCATTATTAGTTTATATAAATAGAATAGAAAAAATATATTTTCATACTAATAAAGCTTTCCCCCCCGCCCCCTCATTCACAGTTCTCAGCATTCCCTCAATACGACACAAACATACAAGTTACAGTTCATCCTTCAATCACAAGTCCAAAAGTGCAATGTCATGTAAGTTTTCATGGAATCATGTCACGCGTGTGTTGAGTTTTTTTTTTTTTTTTTCCAGCTCGAGTCGTGTCAGTTTGAGACATTATTTGAAACAGTAGTTTGAAGCATCAGGGCTCACAGCGACCGCATCCCAGGAATGTCACCAGTGACGTCATACTCTGGGATCCCAACCCTTCAGGCTGTGCAAAGTGTAAAAAAAAAAAAAAAATTCCACCCCACTCCATCTACAGCATCTCAGACTAAAAAGGTAAACAATAAAAGTTCATTTCTGTGCAAACTCTACTTCTTTTTTTTTGACACTCTTATCTATTGGTCCACTCATTTTGAGAATGGGGCAACAAAAAAAAATTTTTTTGTTTTGTTTTTACGTTCTTCCCAATTTTCCATCTCTGTAATCAGGAATGTGCATGTTTTTCCTATTATAACAGGTTGTTGGAATGAAAAACATTTTTTGGTCCCTACGTTAAACCAGTGCATTTCAATAAATCAAATCCATAAGGTAAAACGTATCCCCCAATATAGAAGTGACATACAAAAATTATTTTGAATACATGACAAATGTCATTCTTTCAAGTCAGACATTTGTTTTTCGAGGAAGACCAAGTTTCTTTTGTAAGCCGCGAGCTTTTCTCTTACAACAGTATTTGGTCACTGTGTTTCCGTTGAACCTAAATCAGCAATATTTAGGAATTTGGTGACGAACGTGATCCAGCCTTGGTGAGTTCTCCCATTAAAAATATTTTTCAGTATATAGAATGATACAGTACAATGCAGAGCGTGCCTGGCAGGCTTTTTAGAGGTCCATGAGGTGGGAGAGTTCTCCTTCCAGACGCCATTTGTGTTTCGTTTTCAGCAGTCAGGATGGATCGTCTTCACTGTCTCGTCCTGTGAAAACGAGTTCTGTTGCCATGATCCTGTTTCGTCGTTGAGTCAGCATCTGGTGCGAAAATGCAGCGGCTGTCTTCCTTTAAGTCTCAGCCACTGGTTGTGCGGGAACCAGAATGACTCATCCGGCGCCGTGTTCTTTAAGGCAGACCGAGCCGCGGGAGTCGGTCTAAGATCCATTAGAACTGAGGAGTCGAATGGTCGGTTTTGACGAAGTAGGTAGTGAGTTCTCCTTTCCCCTTCACGTTGACTTTTCCTCGGAGCGTGACGTCGTACCCCACGCTCTGGATAATTTGGGAGGTCTCCTCCGTCACCTGAGGTCATGGTAGGGAGAGGGGGAAAAAAGGTTTTAATGTTAATTAAATCATCTGTTTTTAGTATAGTCTTGTTTCAAAGGGGCTGTATCACGTTTTTTCAGGCACACAACACTATATTACATCACAATTAATTACCTATGTTAACAACAGTTGTTAAAAAAATCTATCTGTATATAAAAAGTGACTTGAAAGAAATTTACTTTGTCATTTAACATCTTGAAATTGGGCTTCTGTCTCTTTAAAAACTCACGCTCTTTCTGACACTTCCGCCTTCAGGAGGTCATCACAAGATCACTCCTCTGTTAACTCTTATAACAACGTTTTTACCGACGTTGCACTGAGAAGTAGCTCATCTGATGAGCTCAGCAGACGCGCAGTTTGCTAATTTCTGCTGGCTAGTCTGAAGGAGTTCTGAGCTGCATCTCGAAGGCGGCGCTAGCTCCAGCCAGCCGTTTTGCACAGCTGAATAGTTGCCGTGGGAGACTGAAGGATTTCTCAAACATGAATGAAAGAATCGAAGCAACACTCCAGATATGTTTTTAATGAGGGAATAACATTATAAAACACCGTAAAACTAAAGAAAAGTCAATTTTACATAATATTGCCAATAAGGAGCTTATTTCTGTACTAGAAATCTGAAAAAAAAGACAAACACAGGGAAAAGTTTATTTTCTAAGTCATTAATTTGTGCATGTGTTGAGTGTTTTTCCAACCTGTATCTTCTCCAGTTCCCCTGTGCTTTCCATCCTACTGGCAACATTAACAGAGTTCCCCCAGATGTCATACTGAGGTTTGTGGGCGCCGATAACTCCGGCGATCACTGGGCCGTGATTCACTCCTGCAAGTGGATAACAGACAAGAATACATGCTTGTTCACATTAAAGATAAATGATAATTTTCATATAAAAATGCCTCCTGTTTAGGACTTTATGTCCAATTTGTCTTGGCATCTGTGGGTTTTGTATTAGTTTATTATTCAAAATAGCTGAATCCTCTACAGAAAAAGTAAAATGTAAAAAGGCATTTCAAAGTACGTCACACCATAAAAAACATAACACAGTAATAAACATTACATTTAGTCAAGTTTTGGAGTTTTCTGGAACTTTGTTCCAGATTAGAGATCCATAAAAACCGAATGCTGCTGCTCCAGGTTTGGTTCTGGTTCTGAGGATTCAGAGTGGATTGGAACCAGTCACGTCCCCGTAAGCCTCGCAAATTGTTTTTCATTTTTCAAAAACACATTTCAGCGTTTAGAGATCTCTAAACATTTCAGCGTTTAGAGATGAACGACTTCTGTTTGTGACTAAAGGAATAATAATACTGAAAATATTACCAGCAGCAAAAAAGATTTAGCAATATTTGTTGAATTAATTTCTGCAGATTTTTCACCGTGTTTTGTTTAATTGTGCATATGTATTTTAATTTTGTTTTGTTTTGGGAAATAATAGTTTGGTAAAACAAGACAGAAACAAAAATCAAAGTTATGTTTGTATTTGTTTGAACTTTGATTTAAAAGACAGACATGTTATTAAATAAGTGTATTTAGAAAAACATATCTAATACACTACACTGAAGAAAATTCAAGAAGTTGTATTTTTTTCACAAAGCCTGTTATTTCATGGGTTACTAAAAAAAATTTAATGCACCTTTTGCCTCTATGTTCCAACTTTGCACTACTTTGGTTTCTCACGATTCCCTAATAAAAATATCTTCACATGTTTAGTTGTAATATTGGAAAATGTAAAAGAAAAAAAGTTAAGGCGCAACGTGTTTAACCCAACTTCTCTGTATGAATTACAACCATTTATTTAGTTCATTTGATCCTTACTGACTTTAAACCAGTTATTATGAGCTATAGATCACCTATACAGAGCAGCTACATTAATGTTTCTTTATTAATGTACAGAAGCCGGCGGACAAAAAAGGCATGTAATTTATTTTCATTTGTTGAAAGAATTACACTGACGATAGTCCATTTTAACATTTTATTGTCTTGTATGTCTCTTTAAAACAGATCACCCTTAAAAATAGGAACTATTACCTAAATTGAATCTGTTCGTACAGAATATTGTACAACAGCTGTTCTCTACTGCACTGTCTTTTATGTTTTAAGAAGCTCAGAAAGTCATAAATCATTGTTTTTTGCCACTGAGTGTGGAATACAGAGATAGTCTATCTCTTCTCCATTTTTTTGTCTTCTGAAAGGCTCAAAAAACACAAGTGAAAAACAAATTGGAGATTCTTTTTCCAGTGTTTGTGCTTTAACATATCAAAGCAGTTTTCTTTTGTTTTTGTTTTTTTTTTCAGCAAACTATCAACTCTCCTGGTAATATTAAAATGAGCTCACCGATTCGGAGTTTAAAGTTGTTGAAAGAGTGCTGGTTGAGGTTTTCCAGTTTGCTCATCATAGCTATTGCAAACTCCACCATGGTGCGGACAGTGATGTAGGTCATGTCGACTTTCTGTAGGAGCCAGAGATCACGCTTGTTAGCAGGGCATTTTTTGTACATGTTGGAAAAAAAACCCAAAAAGAAACAGGAAAGTCTTTTCTTCCTGTGTCAGCTGAACTTGCTTTGCAAACATGTAGAAAACAATTAACACTTGGAGCTTTTTGTTTTCTTTCGTTTTACAAACCTTATTGTCTTCTCCTACAGGGCTGTGTCTTAGTCCTGCAGCAGCCATGTAAGTGCTGCCGATCGTCTTAATCTTCTCAACGGAAGAGAATTTGGGCTTCGACAGAAGCTGCATTGAGACACACACAGAGTAAACGTTAGAAAGAAGAAGAGAGTATTTGACTTTCTTTCACATCATCTCGGTGGACGTACGCCATCGAAGTCCAGTATGATCTCGTTGAGGAAGCGAAGACACTCCAGGCCGTCTCCGTTGGCGCTGCTCTCGCTGTAAAACTCTTTGAACTGAGGCAACGACGCGAACAGCACACACACGCAGTCGTATGATTCGCTGTACAGGTCCTGCAAAAAAAAAAGAAGATATGTTGTAGATGAAGACACTTTGAATTGACGACTAACTTAACATCTGGGAGCATGTTGACAAAAATCCTGCCAAAAAAGTTCAGATGTCTCGTTTTTAGATATATTTATCCTCCAAGGTTTAATATTGTTTTGTTATTAGCTCGTATTTCTGTGTGTCTGTACGAGGGATGCAAGTTATCAATTAATCAGTTAATCTAAAGTTGATTGAGCTTACCGATTGATTGATTATTTTCTTCAAAGTCTGAGTTTTCTCTTGTATCAAGATGGCAATTGTCTAACGCCGAGGGTTAATTGTTTATAATATATTGAATTAAAAAAGAATTTATTTAGAGATTATTTTATGTCAGTTGTATTAAATGCTGACTGAGGAAACAGAAAACATTGGTTTCCTCACATTATGAAACTAACAATAAAATATGAAAAGAATAAAATACGCGAAACATTTAATTCCCCATGAACAGAGAGATGTTTGCCCATACAGAAGTACCATCTGTGGTAGCTTTGGAAGGAATATTAAAACTTTTCTCCATGAAGTGCATTAACTTCGTGGAGGACAGATCTGAAAATCAACAGTTTTTTCATCATATAGTGTTTATATTTCTAAACAGAATGACATAAAGTGCATTTTCCATCCCAAACTGGACTCTGTTTGGACCGTTTCTCGTTCTGGGGCTGGTATAGACCCGCCATCTTTGTTTCCGTATCAACTGGCTCCGCTTAGCGTTGACCAGGGCTCCTTTGCGTCCCTACTTTGTCCCCCTTTTTTGCAGTATTTACTTGATTGTCGACGGCTTTGCCCATGAAGAAGGAGGCGACGTGAAGTGGCATGACGTTCTCCAGGAGGAGCTTGTTGACGTTCTCCATGGTCTCCATCTCCTCGCGCTCTGTTTGGAAGCAGCACTCCAACAGGAAGTCTACGCGACACGTCAGCTCGTCCTGATAGAGTCACACAAACACAGAGCGTTTCAACGTGCATCGACTAATTTGCGACGCTTCACACTGCATGGTAATAGATAAAAAGAGACGAACCCGTCTGGCCAGAATGAGGCACACGATGTAAAAGAGGACCAGCCAGATCCCGGACATGATCTGAGGGTCTTTCAGCACCCCGACACTGTTGGCAAACACAAATACAAAGTCATTCTGGAGTTGAGCAGATCAATAAAAAGGCCAACCCACTCCCCCTTCCTACTTCCTCAAACATGGAGGTCTTGTTTCTACACTGGGCTTGCATCCCCTGCCACCCAGGAGGGCTTCTTTCTATAGAAAGCAGCTAAATAAATGATGGTGATCTGAAACCGCAGACAAGGATTCACAATCTGAGCTCGACGTCTCGGACAAAAGGGAGGAAATTCAACACCTTCCCGAAGCGAGGCTGGTGGCGTTATGACTGCCGAGGGCGGAGAGCGGAGGAAGGTTTAACACGTGCGGCGTAGTTTTTATCTGCACGCATTCAGGGACGCATTGGTTTGTTGACAAACCGAAATGTAAACAGAAACCAGATTTCAGTAACTGATTAATCTCCTATTCTGATGATTAATTGGATGGAACACATAGGCACATCCTGCAGATTTTTTCATTTGAGCCGTTTTTATATAGTTTAATAATTGTATTAAAGGACGAAAATCGCCCAATAGTTTAATTCCTTTATTTCTTAAAGAAAAAAATAAGCATATTATTTCCTAAAAAGCAGCAACATAGCATCCCTTCAGTGAACGCTTGATCATTTGTAGCAAACGATGCGTCTGCAGCTAAAGAATACTTCTAACATCCAAGTAGCTTCAGTCGTACTATGCGTAGGTCACTCACTGTGTGTGATTTTTATCGTAGTACACATCCACAAGGCAACTGGACTCGTTTTCGTAGACTTTGAGGAAGAGGGCCAGGTACACCACCACAGCCAGCGTGAGCAGGAATCCCTTCACAGAGAAGCAGATCCTAACAAACACCATCACTCCCAGCATGGCCAGCAGGCAGCAGTACAGGTAGTACTGGATGTTTTCACCAAAAGGAAGAAGGGCAGAGAAACAAGTGCAAATTGGTGAGGTGTGTTGTTCAAACTTGGAACGGAACAATTCGGAGCTTAGCTTCAGGTACTATGACTGCAAATACAGTGACACCTACTAGACAGGTAATAGTTAGCCAACAAGGTTAAAGATTAATGCAAACTATGGAAAATGCAAACAGCGAGATAAATCAATGATAGCACAGAAAAAGGTACAAAACTGTCTCCTGTTTCCAGGAATGAGTTGTCAAATGTACAAAAAAGATCTGATAATCTGGTGAGATACTCACAGGCAGATTATACAGTCTGTGTCCTCCTAAATACGTGGTGTTAGTGACCGACGTGCAGTTCCTTGCTGGGAGGACGATCTGGAAAGAATACAGACACAGTGGAAATAAGACGATCAAGCAAACAAATCGACCGAATGATCAAAAACAATACTTACCAAGTTGAGGAAGGCCATGAGCAAAGTGATGAGGACACACAGAGTGACGAGGAAAAGCCGCAGCACCGCCCTGGCAAGGAAGTTGCGTGACAGCTTCACTACCCACTGGACATTCAATGGCAACTTGGAGTGCAATTTCTGATGAGGATAAAGCGAAAAGCGTCACTATGGCACCACTCTGGGTCTTTGGTGGTCATTTCGACTTAGGGGAGACCATAAAACTACGCTGTCCATTTTGACATTTTAATGGCACAAACGCAATGTTTTTTGGTAACTTTAATCTAAATTTCCAAAACCACATTTGCTTACATGTGGTTCATTGTGTTTAAGATGCAAAGTATCCATACCATTTGAACTCACCTGTTAGCCACATTACATCCACAAACCTCAGTATATTTAGAAACTTAGGAGGAGTGAATCCTGCTGCTGGGTTTTCATCAATTTGAAGAATAAATTGAACTTGATGTACTGTTCGATATCTAGGCTGAATTGGAACTGACTCGATTATGTTGAATTGACTGTTTTTGTAAAGTATGTTAATATGACGTGTTGTGAATTGGCACTTTGAACTGATTTAAAAGAAGATGCATTGGAGGTTTTCAGGGATTCATGTCTTAAACATACACAACATTGTGTTGGTCTGTAACCTAAAATCCCAATAAAGAGCATTAAAGCCTGGTAATATTCAAGTGGTTTGACTTATTTTGCAAAACGGTACGTGTTTCTTTTTCTCTAGAACTTCTTGCCATTGTAGCTGATCTCAATTAGCGTCAGTTACAACAAGTTAATCACGCGGCGTTAATCTGATGTTGACATGAAAGTGATGCATACGCGTAGACTTTACCTTCATGTATGCAACAAAAGAAATGACCAGAAGTGCCACCATTACAGGAAAGGTCACACCGTAGGACACTGCCATTTGAAAGTTCCTATAACAGTGACAAAGTAGAGTTAAGTTAATCTGCTCAACATAAATAATAATAATCAGAACAACTAAGATGTAGCCTTGTACAACAGACACAACGGTTGTATGCATGAAGATGTTTTAAGAACTACTTACTTTTCAGAGACAAGCATCTGGACGGTGAAAAGAGACACGAAAATGATGACAATGCAGCTCACTGAGTAGTGCAAATTTGTCACCTTTGACAGGCGGAACTGGAAAGCAGTTTAAAAAAAAAGCTGGTTAGGGGTGAAAAGATTGTCTTTTCAGTCACAAGGTTTCCTGTGTAGTGCCCTGCTAAGTTACTGATACTCAAACTTTTGCATGTTTTGTCACATTAAAACCTCTAACTTCAATTGATTTTATATGGAGTTGAAGAAAAATGACACTTTGGCTTGAATGAGTGTTCAGTTCAAACTCAGTCAGACTGGATGGAGCTCATTAGTGAATAGCAGTTGGAAAAATGTCTTGTTTTCAGTGAACCAAGTGGAAGTAGTATTTTCTTATCCACACCAAGTGATTATGGACTAAAAACAAGCTCCAAAATCTTGTTGAAAAGCTACTTCTGAGCTAACTTTGTCTTACTTCAAGTGCATTACAATATTTGCATTTGAAACTGGACCAAATATACTTGGTATGACTTTTTTTGTTCTAACAATTTCCTGATGTGAGCTGTGAAACTCGGCAGGTCTTCCAAAGCTACAATTAGCATTTGGGGAATTGGTTGCACTAGATTTTATTTATTGCTGTCTAAGTAAATGAGCACCACATTTTTCAGATTTTTATTTCTGGAACATTTTGATTGCCATGTTGTTTTCCTCCTTAAAATGCACAATTACACTAAGATTCTAGTAAAACAAATCAAAGTCTGTAGTTGTAACGTCTGAAAAGGAGAAATAACTGAAGGCATATAAATACTTGTGGAAGGAATTTTATGTGTACATTCTTTTAAAGAGCATATATTATGTTTCAGAAGAAAATATACCTGTTTCTCTACACTGAAGTCATTAAACAACAGAGTCAACCAGTTGAGTTTCTTCACTTTCTTCCTACATGAAAAGAAACAAGAAAATATTGGACAAATTTAATACGATAAAACAGTACCTTGTACATCTTTTATATTGTCGTTGTATTTTAGACTTTAAAATTCAAAAAGACGAGAAAAACGTCATCTCAAGTTAAACAAGGGCATCTGCAAATTTCAGCAAGTGAAATTTAAGGCTTTTTGAGACCTTTTAATGCCACCATGAATTAAATTTGAGACTGAAAGAATTAAAAATGTCAGGGATGGTTGGGGAGACTTTCTGCATAGGAATGAAGAACAAGCAAAAACTGTGAATCCGGCTTTGTGCCCATGATGAAGGCAAAATACATAACTAGCTAGTAAGGCTATATCAGCCTCAACTGCCTTGAATGCAACAAAGATGTTTGACTTTTGCCTGACAGAAATGACCCACAAGAAAAAAACTATACAAAACAGTAAAGCTATGACAAAATTTAAGACCTCTGATTAACATATTTAAGCCCAACTTACATGTTTTGAAAGTATTAAAGACATTTTAAGACATTTTGATTTCACACACAAATTTAAGACATTTCAAGGATGAGTGGACACCCTGTAAACTCACCCAGTTATGTCCACTGTGTCAAGTGATCCCTTTATGCTGCTATCGATAGACAGACTAAAACAAATGAAAAGACATTATTGATGGCATCCTCTGAGAAGACCAGAGAGAAGGTTTCGTTTAGCTCCTTCAAACTGGACGGATTTCACTTTGCAGTAATTTTAGCAACATCTCTTTAAGAGATTCCTGCCACTTACCGGTTGGGATTGTTGTAAAAAGATTGTTCTTCCTAGAATCAAACACAGACATAACAGGCACTGTTAGACTTGGGTACAATAGACCATGATCAAACAGCCGAGAGAGACAAAACATCGACTGCCCTGCATGTTCTTTACAACACCGCCCAGTGGGATGGCGAAGCAGGAATACGTGCTTACCTCCGATGTCAGTCGTGTACGCGTTACGACATCTTTGAGAGGCTTGCAGGCCTTCTTTTTCTGTGGGTTGCTCAGGTCGGCGAAAGGGTGGATGGTCTTCCAAGATTTGAGGTACTGAGACATTCGGACGGACGCCCGCTGCTTGTTCTCACCCGCTGCCTGAAGTTACAGCAGAGGCAGTTCAGTGCTTAGATCAAGAGTGCTTACGTACAAGAAAATAATCTCTTAATACACATTTTAAGCTAATGTTTCCCCACAAGGGCAGGGTAGAGGAATTTTGTTTGCAGTGTGAACAAGGCAATTCACACTGCGTGCCCCTACCAGATTAGGCCTTCGCGGAACGCTGCTTGGTTTGTTGGGGTCAATAACCAGGAATGTTTTTCTCCCGTACAGGTGAATATTTCGACTTTCCCCATCCCCGTCCTCCACCTCGTACGCTCCATTCAGGTGCAGCAGGGTTTCTTCTGTTATGTGGACTCGCCTAGTTGGACCAGCATTTGCAAACAGAAGTTCAAATGTTTCCAGAACAGATCTAAACTTACAAGTATTGCTTTTTAATTGAAATTAACTAACATTTTGCATGGTTTCATACAGTTTAGTTATCAGATAAGGGTCACTTTTCTTACCCAGGAAGGCCTCCGGACTCCATTAGATTGGCTAAGGTAACATCATTTGACCAGACGTCATACTGCCACTTCTGAGAGCCAATCACACCAGAGAGCACATTGCCAGTGTGAACGCCAACCCTCATGTTGATATCCACTTCTGTAGCCCGTCTAAGTTCACTGGAAGGAGGTAAAGAAGAAGCTAAAAATCAAAGTTTCACTGAGAAAAATGGATAAAATCAAAGAAAATGTGGATGAATTTTGTCAATTTGTCTTAAGTGTTTTCACACCATATTTAGAGCGCTCTACTTATAATAAGCTCATCTAGTTTTCATGTTATTACTAAATATAAATAGAATTTCATTGTGTTTAAGATGAAATGTAATAACTTTCCACACCAGAACAGCTTTTAGTTTGTTTTCAAAGTCCATAAATATTGCTCCATTCAAATAAATGGAAACAAATATTGCCACATTTGATTTGCATTTTCCTCATACATGAATTTCCAAGGAATGCAAGCAATGAGGCTTCCACCTCCTGGTCTGCTGCATTTGCATCAAACAGCACAGAACGGAAAACAAAATAGATTATACAAAATATGTTATTTTAAAAGTGTGGGAAAAACACACCCAAAGTACTAATGCTCTAATTTTTTTATATTTTGTCACATTAAAACGACTAACGTCAGTTCACACGTCAATGGTATGTTGACGTGAACGTCAAATTTTCGTACATGTCAAATCATTGATGTGATATGTCACCGGCAGCAGTTGGTACTGAACATCAACTACTGAGAAAAAAAAACATAAAAATTTATAGCACAGTGAAGTAACTACATTAACTTCAGTTGTTATAAAAATGCTACATATGTCAAATATGACATAAAAGAAATTTGATGTAATTGGGCTTCTGTCTCTTTAAAAACTCCTGGTGTTTCTGGAATTCGCCTCCAGGAAGTCATCACTACAACCGTTCTCTAGTAATCCTCTAGCAATTTTTATATACTGTTGCACTGAGAAGTAGCTCATATAAGGAGCTCAGCAGATGCACATACCCAATAGGTATTTGCTAATTTCTGCTGGCTAGTCTGAAGGAGCTGAGTGGCGGAGGCACAGTATCTCCATGAGACAGTATCTTGTAAGTTAAGAAACTGCATCTCAAAGGCGGAGCTAAGAAGAAGTGAAAAAGGTGCATTTCTAAAATTATTTTGGAATTATTTTGGATCAAAGAAAATAATTCTTGGTTATTTGTTGTAAATGCCGGTATAACACATTTAGATCACTTAAAAAATTCTTGGGGAAGGGTTAGACAAACTCAGATAAATCCAGATGGACTGACTTGATGGCGGTGCACATGTCCAGGCCCATCCGAACGCAGTTGATGGCGTGGGTGGGAATGGGGTCAGGGAGGCCGGAAACACAATAGTAGCAGTCCCCCAGGATCTTGATGCGGAGACACTCGTTCTTCTGTGCTCAGAAAGAAACACGGGGGACCGAAGAGTTGGGTCTTAAACATGTGATTCAACAGAAAGCCGCCTGTCACAAAAACATCACATCATTCGCAACTTTACCTTTGCGATGTCATCAAATTTGCCAAAAAGCTTGTTGAGGACCCCGACCAGCTCCTCGGGCGTACAGGTGCTCGCTAGCTTCGTGAAGCCGACAATGTCTGCGTACAGGATGCTGGACAAACGCAGAGAAAAATAAATATTTAACATACGGTGAAGATAAAAAGGAACATGTTTATGTTTTTGGTAGGACAAAGCTAACAATGAGCTAGTCGGGGTCTGTCACTGTGTAGAAGCATAGAGGGACATTCACAAGGAGATGTGACAAATGTAGTACATATGGTAAGTAAATTAAATCTTCACCACAAACTTATATTTACAAAAAAAAATGATGTGTTAAGAAGTAGCTGTGTTGTGTTTTATTTCTTTCAGATACACCCTGAAGCGAGGTGTGTACTGTGACAAAGTCTTGAGCCACTTTTTTATCTAATCTTGTGAAAAAGTCCAGAGAAATATATAGTTTATTCTGCATATTATTCTGTAAATGTGAGCAGTTCTAAACTTGACTTAGTTTCTTTCTATCCTTCTCCTTTCCTTTCTTCTCTTTTCTTTACTTCCTTCTATTTTCAACATCTCCTTTTCTCTTTGTTACTTTCCTTCCTTCCTTTTCTTTCTTTCCTTTTTTCCTCCTGTCTTTTATTCTTTCCTTTCTCCTTTATGTCATTCTCTCGTCCTGTCTTCCCTTCCTTCCTACATTTCTTTCTAACAATGGCACAGTTTCTCACGTTGTGGCTGTAGTATGTGGAAATCAATAAGTATTGAACCCCTGTGACTCTGTTGCCCCTACATAAAAGCCACTAAGCCCACACTTTGCTTTTATTTTTATTTGAGGAAAAACCTGGAAAGCATGGTCTCATTTCCTGTTCCACATCACATTTCTGAGCTGCTCCGTGTCGCTCCATCACATTAAATCCCAATAAAACCCACAGAGGTTTGTGGCTGTAATCTGATAATCCATAAATAGTGAGGATCTGTAACAGAACCAGTCAAATAGCACTAAGAGCGATCAGCCAACCCTCCACCTGCGGCTGTTACCTGACATCCCTGTGCTGCCGAATGTAAAGGCTGTGAAAGTTGGGGTGGTTGCTGATTTCTTTCGCCTCGTCGCCCTTCGGCTTGGACAGCCTCTTGATGATCTCACTTTTCAGCTCCACGGCGATGTAGCGTGGCAACACCGACAGCAAGAGGCCCTCCTGTGTCGGATGAAACATACGGAAAAGGGTGGGAATGTAAGAGAGGCGAAGCTAGGCGAGACTCGAAACCGCCAGATTTCCGTCGCTCAGAAACGACAGGGATGTGTTCGGAGCCTGAAAAAGAAAGCAGTGTTTGCTCGCTGGGTTGTGTTTCATCTCTTTGTTTGCCCGCAATGAATGGTGCCCATTTGGGTTTGCCTTTTCTATTGTTGCTGAGCCCTCAGACGAGTGAATGATTAATCTATTGGCCTAATAGCAGGGAAAGCATACAGCAATGAGACCAATTACACAGAACCGTTTGTAATCCAGGTGAAACAAGCCGCCTGGAACCACAAAGGAGGGATTTTTCGTACAACTGACTCTGTCCTTTCTGAAGGATACGGAGTAAAAGAATCAGAGTGTTACTACTGTAAATATGATTATACAAGTGTTTCAACCTGCTGATACTTCTTCACTTCCTTCTGGGAGCGCACAGCGCTGAACTCTTCCCGCTTCTTGTTGGATGCCCTGAGGTCGTTCTCGGTCATCCACAGGTGGAAGACCCCGAAGCAGTTGACGCACACGAACAGCACGGCGTTCGCCACCAGCTGAAAAACAAGAGTTCATCAGATGACGCCTTCGCCTGCTGGACGTCACAGCATTCCATGAGACACAACATGCAAGTTAGGCCGAGACAGGCCAAACACTCCTTTTTATTTTCCATTTTTCCTCAATGAGATACATAATGAGCGGTATTATACAAGGTTCTTGTTTACACATGAGTAAGTTGTAAAGCAGAAACATATCTGCCTGATGATTTGCATGTTTTCTAGAGGAAGTAAACCGTGTTGGTCACACAACACAAAATACTTTTGTACACCTTCATGCTACAACTGAATTATGATCCTTAAGGGAAGATGATGTTGCAAATATCTTAAAATTCCTTAATAGCACTCTAATCTGTTCATGTTGGTTGAGATTAAATACATTATTCAAGCTTTTGAAAGAGCAAAAGACGGTGTTTTACCTGCTCGGCCAGTTGTGGAATGTTTGGACGAGTGTTAGCATTCTTGACAGGGACATACACACTGATGATGATGATGTGAGAAACACTGCTTCCTATCCCAACTATGAGGGCCCAGGTCAGAGAGAGGGGCAGGACCGTGTAAACACTCAGAGACAGGAAGAGGAAAAACGCCACCTGAACACAAGAAGGGAGCAATGAGACTTAGAGAGGGTTTCTGTAGCTATCACCAACTCAAATAAAAAAAATTTAAGACATTTTTAAGACCATTACGACTGAAATTTAAGATATGCATCACGAGAGAAGTGTACAAAAGTAGTAGTGTCAAGCTTTGTTGCCCAGAATGCACCTGGCATTACATGTGTTAGCATCAGAAAAGAGCCAGCGGCAAAGATAATCTACACTTGCCAATGATAGACTCAAAAAAGCTAGCCAGGTAGCTAGCAAGGGCTTATTCGTTAGCAGTTGGCTCAACAGCCTTGAGAAGAAAAATTACATAAAACATACAAGAGTAAATAGCTCTGCAACAAAATTTAGGACCTGTAATGTATTTAAGAGAAACTTAAAAATAATTTTATAAATGTAAGACTTTTTTAAGACCATTGTGAATTAAATTTAAGACCTGTATCTCAACAGAAATGTACAAAAGTACTAGTGCACACAGCATTGTATGGGTTAGCATCAGAAATGAGCCACTGGTGAAGATGAACCAGCCAACTGGTGATAACTTACACTTCATAAAGTTAGTGGTAGATGAAAACAGCTAGCTAAATAGTAAAGGTTTTTTAGCAGCTAGTTAGCGGTGGATGTGATTCAAGCTTTTGCCAGTCAGAAAACTCTCAGGAGAAAAGTAAACTCCATACAATATGCAAGAGTTAATAGTCCTGCCATGATAAAACTTGAGACCTATAATCAGTGTATTGAAGGACATCTTACATTATTTTAAATGAATTTAAGACATCTTAAGGTCTTCATTTCAGATACATAAATTTAAAATTTAAGAAAAGAACAAAACTCAATCCCATTTTCTGTTTTAGCTGCTTCTCACCTGTTCCCATGCATTCACCTCTCCCCCTGTGAAGATGAAGACTATCGCCGTGACGTAAAGCATCCCCCAGACGAAGAGCGCCAGCGCTCCTCCACAGCGTCTCACTGTGGCCACCCAGGGCAAGCAGGCGATCAAGATCACGTTCAGACAGAGAACCACGCACACCACCGACAGGGCACCGACGTGATCGCCAAGGTACGGTTCTTCTGTCTGGATGATGCAAAAGTTATCAGATTAAGGTCCAGTTTAAACAGCAATCTTACACACAGCATAATTTTCTTCTTTCATACAAAGTGTCTTCATGGGATAACATTAAATTCTGGAAAGCTTTCAGAGATGTTTGCCTTTGTGTTTTATGCAGAAGCGTTTTAACTGCCAGAGGCTGGGGATAAATTCAGGAGCAATTTATATCCTTTAAATGAGAAAACGTTCCTACTGTACAAAGACGTAAAACGTTTGTTGTTACAAAACGTTTCTTGCTACAATGAGATTGAAAACAAAATATCCTCTCATTCAAATCAGAAAGTTAGCAACAGTACAACTGGTCTTTTTAGTTGCCGTCAAGACGAAACAGAGTGAGAAGGAGAATCATAGCGAGCCCCTTTATGCCTTTTTAACAAGTCATAATCTATCTGAGGAGCGTATTTTTACATCTAATTATAACGAGACATAAAACTGGTCACATTAGAATGAGGAACTCATTAAAACAAATAGTATATTGTTATGACGAGATATGAAACTTGTTTCTCGTAACAAGGAACAACAACCAGAAACGTGAACAAGAGCATCATGCAACTCAGGACCCAAATGCACCATCAGAACCATGTTCTTCCCTTCTATGGGAAAACTATTATTTTTATTACACATTTAGGTGGGAAAGTGTATCCGAAAGATTGACAGTTAGCTGGGTAAAATCCATGTAAGACATGCTTTTATAGCCCGTTGTCTTGATTACTGTAAGCCGATTGCCTTTGGAACTAGCAAGGCATCTGCTTCTTGCTTCCAACAATTTGTAAACCCATTTCACACATGTTGCCATTTCCTCTGTGTATCACTTCATCTTAAAAAACCTGTTTTCATCCACAACATAAACCACTTCAAAAATTCTTTTGTGTGTGTTTATTTCATCTGAGACTTGACAGATTATGAGCCCCGAACGAACCAAAATAACTCCCATTGTGCCGCAGGTCTCGTTTATTTCTTTACAGCACAGTAGAGTGTAGGACTACATGTGGAGGGAAAAACTGAAACCAAAGAAGCAGGCTCTGTTTTAGAGGCTTTGTGAGGTCATGAATTAAAAACTGAAATCAATTTCATCAGCAAATCCATCAAAGGTAATACAGGAAGTGTGTGCAAAGCATTCCAGTGACTGACCTATGAACCTATCAGCTGCTGATCTCTGTCAACGAGTCGCAGCAAAATTAAAAAGCCTTTTTTTTTCATTTGCATGGAAAGCGGACTTTGCTTGAAATGTGACCTGGCACTTTAATTTTCTTTTTCATGAAACAGAGGAAAGGCTACTCAAATTGGTAGCGTTTTTGCAGATACTATAGTTACTATTTTATTTGATGTTACAGGTTGCAATGAGTTTGCTTTGAAGACAGAAACATAAATAATAACACTATTTCACACACACACACACACACACACACACACACACACACACACACACACACACACACACACACACACACACACACACACGCACGCATGTACACGCACACACACACGTGATCATATCCAAGTGCAGTAAACATAGCATATCAAACATGTTGATTACTCCTGCAGAGCTCTGCGTAGGTGTGACGTGTTGTTCCATTTCTGCAGAGGCGTGGGGATGGCTATATGAGGAAGCTCTGACGTAAGGACGGGCGATCAGAGCTGCTCTGACGTTGGAGCAGCAATAAAGCTTTAGGAGTTCAACGAAACAGCTTTCTGAAAAAGCATCACTTCTTTTAACGTAGGTAAATGTGGAGATACTGGAGTCTCTTGCACCGACTGTTCACACGCGCTACGTTATTTTTACTGGAATGAAACGCATTGTAAACCGGAGCGCAAGAATGTCCTGGTGTTTTCACAAAAACAGGCTTAATGCTACATTAATCGCAATGATTAGATTTCTTTTTAAGTTGTTGACTTTCACTGTGATGAAGTAAAAGTCTTCTCTTTGACTCGAAAGACTAGATAATCTAATCTGCCAACTGATCATTGTGTAAAACAATCGGACACTTGATTCTTCAAGATAAACATTTTTGCAATGCTGAGACGTTAGACCAGATTTTGATTGAAATCTCAAATGTGAGAAATTCCTGCTATACATAAAGGCAGTGTTGTGGACACTGGCATGTTCAAATGAGTAATATTTTCTCACTTTAGGTTGCATCATATGTTTTAGCATCAGAAATGAGCCAGTGGCAAAGACGAACGTCGTACAACTGGTGATAATTTACACTTGTAAAATGATAGACTCAAAAAGGCTAACCCTAACCCTAACCCTAACTCTAACCCATTGTGAATTAAATTTAAGTCCTGTATCTCAACAGAAATGTACAAAAGTAGTAGTGCACACAGCATGTATGGGTTAGCATCAGAAATGAGCCACTGGTGAAGATGAACCAGCCAACTGGTGATAACTTACACTTCATAAAGTTAGTGGTAGGTGAAAACAGCTAGCTAACTAGTAAGGGTTTATTAGCAGCTAGTTAGCGGTGGATGTGATTCAAGCTTTTGCCAGACAGAAAAGTCTCAGGAGAAAAGTAAACTCCATATGCAAGAGTTAATAGTCCTGCCATGATAAAACTTGAGACCTATAATCAGTGTATTTAAGGGTAATTTACATTATTTTAAATTAATTTAAAACATCTTAAGGTCTTAATTACAACATACAGTGGTGTTAAGCTTCCCAGAGAAACTTGATCTATTTGTGCATGAACAGTTTCTTCAAACAAAGAAAGTTTCGACGAACATTCGCCCTGAAGAAGAGGATCTGGGCACAAACACCAAGGCCATGCTCTGACACACTCCTGTAGTTGTGGGAACTGATTATTTTACTTGCAGTCAGTGAGTAATATTCAAGTGAAAGAAAGTCAGTGACGTGCGGTCGCTGAATTTTCCCATTTTCTCATTCGAATGCTCGGAAGCGCAGCAGGTGACGCAGCAGCGACCTGAGCCTCGCCTGGGATTGATCGACCTTTGGCTAACTGCACTGGCTGGCATTCGATGAGAGCGTGTTCCTCCTGTCTGTACGTCGCCGATCAAATAAACCTCGATTAATCAATAAAATCGATTTGTAGCCCTTTGTATGTGCTTCTACAGTGCATTGACACATTTAATTTGATTTTGAAAACCATAATTTTCAATCAGCTTGAACCAGGTGCAGCTAAAACTAGACGAGTTTTTAGTAGAACAAATTTACAGACAAAGGGTATTTTTTTTTATCTTAAGTGCAAAATGCATCTATTTTTTTGAACAGTTTTGGCTTAATTAAGTCTGAGTGTGTTGTTCTTTCAGCAATTGGCCCTTTTTGAGTCTGCCCACTGTAGTTAATGATTAATCGAGTGCTAAATTAGTTTTAATAATCAATTAATCCAGTAAATTGTTTCCCAATACTGATCTATTGAGTGATAAGTCTTCCTAACAAACCTGTGGAAGACAAATGGAAAAGAAGTTGAAACACTGAAGCAGACAGACACTTGCTCACGCTTCATCTCACCCTTCCAGTAGCAGGAATGACGATGATGATGACCACGCAGAAGATGATGGACAGCAGCAGGCCGACAGCATGGCTGGAGTCTCCTCAACGCAGCGCAAGAAAGCTCTGTTCGTGGCCTGATAGCAGCAAAACACCCCTTCTTTCACACTCCGTCTAGACCGGGTGCTCTGCCTGTCGACGTAGTCGTCCTCGAGGTACCGCCCGGATCCGATGTCCATGCTGTCTCTGGTTTGCCTAACGATGGACGACCTGGGTGAACTTCCATTGGTCGAGTTTTCCGCTTTCGATTTGCCAGTCAGGTCCAACATGGAATCGCCTCCGTTAAAGTCCAGGTTGCTCTTCTTGGCCTTGTCCGAATCTAGGCTGGTCCCAGACAGGTTGACGGGGGAAATGGAGCTCGTCTTCTCCAACTTCCTTTTGTCGAGCTCCAGCAGCTCTCCGTCGTAGAGGTCCGTGCCGAAGCTGCTGCAGGCGTAACCGGGGCTGGACTTGGTGCTGCTGTAGTCCGAGTCGGTGCAGCTGTTTGCCTGCAGTGGAAGGTTCATGTCGCTGTGTAGCTTAATGCCCGATGGATCAACCGGGGACTCCTGATCCATGCTCACTTCTCTCCCCTTCAACAAAGAAATGGCCTTGAGAGGTTCGGGAACGCGCCGTCTTCACCTCGCCCAACTCCACGGAAACCGGGGACGCACCAAGTCCTGCCGGACTCCCTCCAGGAACATCTTGCTGTTTGAGGCCGTCTCTTTTGGGCTCCAAGGTACTAGCTTTGCCTTTGCCGTCGCTGGGGACGACAACAATGTTTGGCACTAAGGCTATCTGTGCTGCTTCTTGTCCGGGCCTGAATTCATCCTGGAAAGTTCTGGACTCGTCTGGCATTGTGATCCGTCAGCCTCTTGCCTCGAGATAAAATACCTGCGAGCGCAATCTTACGACTTGTCACAACTTGTCGCAGTGTGCTTGTGTGTCAATTTACAGTGAGTCTGAGGTGTTGTAAGGTCCCACAGATCGATAAGGAATCTTTAACTCGATTTCCTTCAGTGAGTTATGTCCCATGTTTTGAGGAAGAAGAGCGTCTCTGCCAAAGAAATAGAGCACAAAATGAGTATGGAGCAAAGTGAAAACACATTTATAATCAATTAATAAAAGCAACAAGAATAGCATGAGCACAACCTGTACCTACCTTTGGTTTTAGTGCCATTTTCATAGCACACCACTTTGAGACATTTCCCCATTATGCAAAACGAGTTAGTCCTCTTCCCCCGTGACACATACGCCTGCATACCGCACAGGTACTGTACTGTTCAGGTGTGTACCGCATTGAAATGTCAGTGACTCACCCAGTTCGCATTTAAAACATTTTTTTTCATCAACACCTTCTGCCAGAGCTTCAGCCCAGCTCTCTTTCTGTGACTTCCCTCTTTCTGCCTCTTCTTCCCCCGTCAGAGAAAACCGCCTCTCTGCCCAACCGGCGTTTCGTGGCTACAGTTCCCCATGCAACCTGTCGGCTCGCTTGCCACGTTAATTCCAGGATTAGACTAAATTTTTTATTTTTTTTAATCTCTATGTGTCCTGCGGTGATAAATCAGATTTACCGCTGTTCTAGAAGGGATTATAATGAAATTCACCTCACCTGGTGTAGCCGATCAGTTTCATTTTGTGTCATTGTTGCAGGTCATATCACAGGAAAAACCACTCGCAGCTCAAATGGCTCTACATTACTGGTAATCTTTAAGTGAGCCGCTGTTCTGGTGGTATCCTTTCCTCCTTTCGGCTGGTTTCACTACTCTGTTCTGTTAGTCAAAGAAGCCATTTTCCTAAAAAAGGGGGAAGTTTCCAGAGCTGAAAGTCAAACTTAACCCAGGAATAGGCTACTTCTGTTGGTCTACTTGTCTTTAACAGGCTCTGCTTGGACACCTGAGTCTGCATGGTGACCAAATAAATACTAAAAATACGCAGAGATGAAAAGCTCTAGCATTCAGATGCAACGAGAAATGACTCAATAGAAACAAAAACATGCAAAACCTCTCGATCGTAACGCAACAGGCCCTCAAGGTGTGCTGAGACACAGAAGAATATCTCAGTGACTAATCATCCCAAGCATTTTTATTATTATTATTATTATTATTATTGCTCATTTGTATCTCAAAGGTCTATTTTTATGTACACTATAATCCCACTGGTGAAATGCTTCACGTTCATGACTAAACACAAACAACAGCTGATGCAAATGAAGTCAAGATGGTTGAGGAAAACCATATCTTATATTCTTAAACGAGAGAGTGTCCTGACAACCTCCCACCCAAATTACAATAAATAAAAATAAATAATAATAAAAAAGCTATAGTTCCTTAAAACACTCTCAGATCCTCCAAGATTTTTCTTCTTCTTCTAAAGTTAAAGAAACCAAGAACAAGTTGCAAGAACACATGAAAGCTAGTAACATGCTAATATATCTGGTATGTGAATGATGAAATATTATTTAAAGCAAATGTAACCTCTTGTGTATAATAGTGGATGGTGACAAATCAACCCCCACAAATTTGAAAAATGTTTCGGTGTTGCTTTATAGTCGTGTAAAAAAATCATAATAATAATAATAATCAATGATAATTTAGCCGTGATAAGATGTTACTTTTCCTCGGTTTGAGGAGTTTGGAGGCGAATTTAACATGAACATGACATTTAAAGTATTGCTCACTTTCCCTACTTAAATAGAAGGAGCGAATGCGCTAACAATGAGAGAAATGTGCCATGAAGATGGACAGATAGACAGATATCCATACCTTACTGCTCGACGACGTTATCTTCAATCTCCCTGAGTCCAACTGACAGGCAGGTTGAGTTTCCCTGAGTCTCCGTCTCTCTCTCTCTCATCTTCCTACCGACGTCAAAAAAAACTGGAAAAGCACAATAAACATCACCGAACTGAAACCGAGCGAAAAAACAAAACAACGTCCGTCAAAAAAAAAACAACAACAACAACAAAAAACCCTGGTTTTTCGATGCTGAGCACAGCCCGTGAAGAGTCCAGGTCTCGGTGCAGGTCTGAAGTTCGGCTTCGGGCGCGAGGGAGTTGAGCGGAGCGCCCGCGCGCGCATGCGTTCGTGCGCGTGCGGGCGGGAGCGCGCTGGTCCAGCAAAGCAAACAGAGTGAAAGTAAATAGAGGGGCATAGAGAGAAAGAGAGAGATGGGGAGGAAAGACGGGGCAAAGGTCAGACTTTCCATGAGACGCGGTGGAGAGGCTGGCTGCTGCTTATTCAGTTTTAAAAATTTAAAAATCTTTTTTTTTTTTTTTATGTAGAACTGCGAATAAAACAAGCAATGAAATAAAGGTCAAATGAATCAATCGGAGTTCTCAACATCTCACAGACGCGCTTGTGGTGTTGGGAGCATCATGCTTAGGGGATACGATTCTTCAGCATAGGAGCAGTAAAGCTGGTAAAAGTTGAATAGACTGAGCTGTTTTACAAAAACTAACTAAAAAAAAAAAAAAGACACCCTAAAAGACTTTCAGCTGTAATTAGAGAAAGATGCCTCTAAAAAAGAAAAAAAATGGAATCAGGCTGAATTAAATGCACTCCACATTCTTCAGTTTTGTTGATTTGTTTTCAGACTTCAGATTAGAGTCGCAGTCGTCGTGCAGGCGGACAAGGCCGAGCGGCGGAAAAATAAAATTAGACAAAGCAAAGGAACAGCACAGAAAGCAAACAAAACGAGATAAACACAGCAGAGAGGGGATTTATAAACAAGAGATGAAATGGAAAATTAGAGCAATGTGACAAAGTTGTGGGGGAAAAAAACTGTTCAAACCTGAGATAAGTAAAAAAGAAAATGAAATCATGTGCATAAAATGACTGAAGAAATGGCTTAATCGCTATATTTGTAATTTTGATCATTTTTGTCATCATTTTAGACACAACAGTCCTGTGGACATCATGGCAACAACACCTATGCAGTTATTGAAGAAGAGTATGCAACAGCAGCCAAGGGTTAGTTTCAGTTAAGACATTTATAGTCACTAATAAATCAGAAATGCTGCTATTTTAAGCGAAGAAAAACCAACTGACTCAATTAACGCTCTGTTCAAAGGTTGTCTCTGGATTTGTTTTTCCCCCCTCTGTCTTGTCTACTTTTTCCAGTCGAATGGCTTTATTGGTGTGGCAATATTTCCCCACTTTGACAGCCACCGTATTTTTATGACATCAGCAAACACACATGCTCATACCTGACTGCGGACGACACAGACACCAGCTTTGTTGCACGGTAGTGTGTGCATGATGCTGAGACCCGGCGAATTAAAAACGACGATATCAAAAGTCTGTGCTCACATCTCGAGCTATACATGTTTTTACTTTAAATTTTGCTTCAAAAGATTGACTTTAAGTTTGTGTTTAGTGCTGTTGTGGATGAGTGAATAGAAGTGAATAGTTTCGGTTTTATGAGACCTGTTTGTTCTTATTATAGAATTATGGGGAAACTATTAAAAGGAACAAAAGCAGAGTGATACGGATGTAGTGTAAGTGTCAAAGTATAAGTTCAAGGGCGACATAAAATACATCTCGTCTTTATTTTGCTGTTCAGCAGCTACATACGCGATGAACGTAAGAAAAAAAAAGAAGCTGGTGTCTCAATAAATAATTAAGTGAAGGTATTATTCTCTTCTTACTATTATTATTCCTCTGGAAAAAGATACGGCCATCATAATGAACAATTGGGCTTTTCTAGGATTGAACTAAACTTCACAGCCCGAATGTTTTCCCGCCCACTAATCAATGACCAATTAGAAGACTTAAATAGAAAAACATTGTTAGTATTTCTTCTAAAATGACCTGATTATCAATGACTTTCTGATTGGAGTACATGTACAGTATGACACAAAAGCTATTTTTTGTCAGCCATTCCTCAAAACGGTGGTATCGGTTTGAACTTAAACGTATCCATATTTATGGACAGGACAACAACAATTATCTTGCGCCATTGCCAAATGTGCCATTGCGTACACAAAATCACTCAAATGAAAATAAAATAAACTGAGTTGTATCCGTTTGGCTGCATTTAGTTGAATTGTATTTAAAAGAAAACTGTTAATGACAAACTTTGTCAACAAATGTACAGAAAAACAACAGGTTAACAAGTTAGAAAGACTTGGAACTGGAAAAAGGACTTTGACAAAAAAGTGTTTGAGAAATGCAGCAAACAGCAACTCTTAAAGTCCCAGAGTCTTTAAAAAGCCTTTTCTGTCCTACCATCACAAACATAAACATGTGGAGTTTGCTGAAGGATGTCATCAGAAATGTGTGACCGAACTGGTATGGAAATGTTTCGTCAGACACAAAATCAACCTTTCTTAATATGAACCATGTGGCTTTCTGCCCAGAGGACTCAAAAATATAAGAAAATGATCTGCCAGCAAAAGTTTCTTCACTTATTATCACAAACATCACCTCTGATTTAGAGAGTCGAGAGCATATTTGGCTGTGTTGCCTTTTCAAATCTCACATATTTATACCTCATCCGTGTCGTTCCTCACTGCTGGCAAGGGTGATAATTGTGTCACATGATTTATTGTTAAAAGAAAAAAAAGGTTCCAAACATTAATATATATATATATATATATATATATAAAATATATAAAGACTTAATGTGTGTCTAATACTAACAAAAATAGCATTTATAAAAGTTTCCCATTTTCCTTTTCAATAACCACACAGAGTGCTGCACGTGTTACATGGCGGAAGGTCTTTATAATTATCAGCAGGCTTTAATCTCCATCTATAGAGGTTCAAAGGTCTCGTTCAGGATGTTCCCCAAAATAGACGTGCTGACTTTTTGCTCCATTGTTGCAGGCCTTGCCAAACCGGTTCACTGTGAATCTATTCTCGGAAAGACGCGGCACAGGATTCTCCTGTGAAGCTTAAAAAAATTTTAAAAAAATCCTTCCTGTGTAAACACGAGTATGCATTGTGTCATAGTTTTTATGTATTTTATAGAAATAAAACAGAAAGTCACAGTAGCAGAGCGCCAGTCACTGCATCTGCATCCCTTTTTTCAGGCTGTAGCCTCGTCTTCTGATTTGGCCAAACTCCACAACTGCTGATTTGGAGTTTGGCCTCATTTCAAAACCAAAATTCTGGATAAGTTCACTTTAGTCATTCCGGTTTATTGGGCAAAATGGGGCTTTGTTCACTGCAGCTTTTAATTCTCTGAAAGTCGTGGCACTTTGCAGAGAGGTTCCTCAATTTAGGGGCTGAACATGAAACTTTGGCAGCAGAATAGGAAGCAGGTTAAAACAGGAAGCCGCTCATGTGGATTTAAAGGAACAAGCATTGTCTCCATGTGAAGCCTTGTAGGATATCAGCCTTTTTTTTTTTTTTACAACATATTTGATCACAAGAAGCTAAAAAAAAAAGTTTAAAATAGATTTCGACAAAACAAACATAACAGTTGTGTCTTTGTCTTGGATTTTGTTTCATTCTTGAAAACTACAGAAGAAAAAAATATGTACATATATTCTTATCCGATAAATAAAAGTGACGTCGACCCCTGGTGGACAAAGCGAAGCACTGCAGTTTAGTTCAAAGTTTTCTAAAGCGGATTGTTTTTGTTTTGTTTTAAACCAGTCGGAGAAGATTCCAAAATCATGTGCAAAATTAGCGTGCATGTCAATTATGTCAAAGTAAAAACAAAGCAACAGCAAAAAATAAATAAATAAATAAAAACTAAACTTTTGGTGTTTGGCCACTTTTGGTGTTTCGGTTGCAGCTTTTAAGCGTGTAGTTCATTCCGGAACTTATTCCTGTTACTCTTTTTCTGGAGTCATAATGAATGTGATCAGAAAAATTGGCAAATTTGAAAATACTTTGCCAGAAATGTACCACAACAGCTAAACACGATGACGTATGTACAAGCACACACTTCTCAAAAACTAGAACAGACAATTTGAACTTTTGAACTCAGTTCATCTCAACCCCGAGATGAACCGGTTCCTATTCTCAAATGGCTTTCCTTGAAGAAAAGAAAGCCATATTGGCCTTCCATCTCATCCTATAAGTTTGATTTTCTTCCCGATAAAAAGATTGTCAGGGCAAAACGAGTTTGCAACTGCGATTAAAGAAATCAACCGGATGTAGGAATATTCATTTTGATGGCCAACAGTAAAACTGCAACTTTAAATATTGAAACTTGAGTTCATTCCACCTGCCATTCCAGTTGCCATTATCTCTCGTGAACACAAGTCTGTGGACATTATTGTAGACGGTAGTGGGTTTGATATTTACATTATTTTCACCACAAACAGGATGGAAAACAAGACGATGGAAATACCACAGGAATAACTTTAATAAGCTTTAAAAATGTACAGATGTAAACACAGAAAGTAAAATTATTTCAATAATCAGTGAAAAATTAGTGAGATAGTGACACGTAAATAAACAAAAAAAAAGATCTTGATTTTCTTTAGTCTCTTGGTTTGGTCATAGTTTTGTGTACGATTGTCAAACCCAACTCTATTAAAAAATAAAATAAAATGAGGAACAAAATGTACAAAATGTTGCAGGGTTTGGTTCAGTGTTTCTATAAAGAGTTTCAACCTACGCCGAGCATCACATAACAGCTGTTAAATGTAGAAACAGAGGACGTTTTTTTGCATTTCTTCCTCAACAATAAAATTGTAATAGTCAGAAACCTACCATTTGTTAAAATCTGTGTCAAACACTAGTTATGTTGTTTTAAAAAAAGCCCCAAAAGTTGTAAATATTTTTAATTCAAGGTCCACCGATTGTCAGATGTTTACTTTGTTCGCTCATTAGCATGCTAGCACGGCCTAGCGTGCTAATAATTAGCCCTTTCACTCAACTGATTGAAATCTAATGAAGAAATTGGTGTTGGAAGCATAAGAGGTAAAGAATCTCCTTGCTTAGCAATTATGAACTGAAGATCAGAAATAATTCAGTCAACATCTTTTGAGACATGCAGACCAACCCAAAAAAATAAAAAATGTTGCTAGCTTTGTATTAATGAGTTAGTTTCACACCAGCTCTATGAGAGTAA